CTAATGATGTTTCACATTGATATGCCATAAGAGCATATAAACTCTTGAATATAATATTTGAAACACCATACACTTCCATCGGTATTCTTGCTGAAGTCTTGCCAAATTTGTTGGTCGAAAAATTTGAAAATTTAATCTTGGTAGGATTAGATTAAAGGATTTTAGAAAAATCAAATGAAAGACATTAGAAACTTGAAAAGGACAAAAAAATAAAAAATGTGAAATAAGACTTGCAAGAGTATTCTATTCTAATTGATAAATTTAGTTACAGGGAAGATTGTCCAATTTAGGATTCAATTATTGTTGGTGTCTACTGATTTATGCAGTTTCAACTCAAATCAAAAGTCCATATTTATATTATTGGCTTTAACAATTGCTCATAACCAAATGGAGAAAGATGTAATCCTAACCATATCATTCTTCCTTTTGACATTCTATTGTTTCGTGTCCCTTGTTTCATCTGTTGACACCCTTATACATGGGGATTGTCTAAATTCATCTGCTTCCTTAGTTTCTGCAAACAAAGTTTTCACTTTAGGATTCTATAAGCCCAAAGATACCAATAATAGTTATTTAGGAATATGGTACACAGATTCGGTCTATCCAAATTATCCAGTATGGCTTGGTAACAGAGAAAAACCTATTATGGATAATTCTGGCATTCTCACAATATGTAGTGCCGGAAAACTTATCATAACGAGCAACAGATCCGATCCTATTGAGCAGTATGCAGGCAGAAATGGCACAAATATAACAGCCATGCTGTTGAATTCGGGGAATTTTGTAGTGAGAAAGATGAATATAAATGGTTCTGCAGGCAGGATTTTGTGGGAAAGCTTTGATTATCCCATTCATACTCTTATTCCGGGGATGAAATTAGATGTTAATCATAGGACTGGGAGAAATTGGTATCTTACATCATCGTTTGGCGAAAACAATCCGCTTCAGGAGCTTTTACGCTAGAATGGGATCCAGCCAGACATAGATTGATTGTACGACGGCGAGGGTTGGCTTATTGGACCAGTGGGGAATTGAAAAATTATACGGATGAGAAAGTAGGAATTTGAGAATATAGTCCCTAAACCCGATGTTTTAAATCTCAAATTTGAATTTAGAACATAGGAAATAATATCCCAAATTTGAATTTTTCATGACGTGCACATCAATTAGAATTCTTCAATTACTTCAACAAGGAATTTCTTCTAAAACTGGTCCAAGTGTTTCTTCTAAAACTGGTCAATTTCTTCTAAAATTGGTCCAAGTTTTTCTCTCTATTCCAAACTCTTCTTTAAGTCCAATACCAATTTTCAACTTCCAATGAGCATTCAAAATAGAATTTCAATTTGACATAGGAAATAATATCCCAAATTTGAATTTTCATGACGTGCACTTCAATTAGAATTCTTCAATTACTTCAACAAAAAATTCGGGTCACACCCGAATTCTAACAATCTCCACCTTGACACGAATTCTACCAAGAAATAAACTGGCTTCTTCAACAATAACCAAAAAATTAATTTCTCCAACAAAATACAATACTCCACATCTTCCAATGAATCCAAGCACTACTCTGCAGAATTATCTCAAATCCCAAAAAATCATAATAATTTTAAATTAATCAAAATGGGCTGTAACACACCCCAAAGCAGAATCAAACTCAACTGGTTGTAACGAAGGCTCCTTGCTAGATTGAACACCTTTTTCTTCACTTAAAGCGTGCTCAATGAAATCAACATCCACATACCTTGTTTCACTGGGTCTAACTCTAGCAACTGAATACAATGGCACAGCAGGTGATGGTGGCAAAGCGGTATTATCCATGTCTTCAAAACTCCATTGAGCTGTATTATTCAAAGTTGACTCTTTATGAGCTCCTAAATGTATTGTACCAAATTGAATGTCCACCACAGTACTGAACCTGTGCTGATTGACTCTTTCAAATTCTGCACGACCCTGGAAGATGTATAAGTGAGACCTTTTTTGTCCCTCCAATATAACATGTGTACCATTACAAACCTTCAAAGCTCTACCTTCATCAAAGAACTTATAACCCTTTGAATCAATGATAGACAAAGATATGGGATTCTTCTTCAAATCTGAAACATGTCGAACCTGTCCAAGTGTTCTAATTGTTCAATCTAAAAGCTTCAATCTGACGATACCAATTCCAGCAACCCGACAAGATACGTTGTTTCCCATAACCACGATACTTTGGGAAACAGTTTCATATGTAGCAATCAAGCCCTTATTAGGACACATATGAAACACACATGCTGAATCAAGAATCCAATCATCTTCTGGTTTATACTCAATGTCAGAAATAGCTAAGAGATCTCCATCACTTACAACATTCTCCGCGATGTCTGCTTCGCCTGAAGTATCTGAATATCTACTTGTAGCCATTCTTTATTTATTCTTCAATTTGTAGTAATCCTTCTTCAAGTGTCCCTTCTTCTTGCAGTAGTTACAAATTTGATTACTGAATTTAGACTTTGATCTGCCCCCTTCCAGAACTACCATAAGCAACCAGGCCTTCTCCATCTCTGGTATCAGAAACTACATGCTTCATCTTCTCTTTTGAAAATAAAGCATCATAAACATCCTCAATGGTGAGAGTAACTCGACTATATGAGATCCTGTCTCTAAATGAAGAAAGGAAAACGGGTAAAGAACACAATATTATCAAGGCCAAATCTTTTTCATCATACTTAACTTCCAATGTTTCTAAATCAGCGACGATCTCCTTAAATACAGCTAGGTGATCTTCCAATTATCTTCCTTCTGCCAAGCGATGAGAGTGTAACCGCTATTTGAGATGCAATTTACTTGTAAGACTCTTGATCATGCATAATTGCTCCAACTTCAACCACAAAGCAGCTATTGACCTCTCCTTCAAAACGTCCTGAAGAATGGAATTTTATAGATGAAAATGAATGTGAGAAACTACATTTTTATCCTTCCATAATTTCTCTTCCGCAGTGAGAAACTACATTTTTAAAAGCATGTTCTTGTTCAATGCCCCAATGAAATCCTATACTTTTCTTTATAATTTCTATGAATGGTGTGGCAAGTGTACTAAAATCTTTAACAAAACGCCTATAAAAACTAGTTAAGCCATGAAAACTTTGTATCTCACCTATGCTTTTAGGTGTTGGCCACTTCTTTTGATTTTCTCCTCATCCACTTCAATACCTTTTGCACTAACAACATAACCAAGAAAAACAACTTTTCCATGCAAAATGTGCACTATTAAAAGTTGGCATAAATTTGCTCTTGCCTTAAGACTACAAGCACACATCTTAAATGCCTTATATGTTTGTTTAGATCCTTACTATATACTAAAATGTCATCAAAGTAAACTACTAAGAATTTACTTATGGATACACGTAAAACATGATTCATTAATTTCATAAATGTGTTAGGTACATTAGTAAGTCCAAATAGCATGACTAACCACTCATACAACACATGTTTAGTTTTAAAAGCGGTTTTTCATTCATCTCCTTCCCTCATCCTAATTTGATAATAACCACTTTTAAGATCAATTTTACTAAATATACAAGATCTATGTAATTCATATAACATAATTTACTGTTATATAGTTGATGGTCGTGCAATCGACCCACATCCTCCAAATTCCATCTTTCTTTGGCATAAGTAGCACTAGCACGACACATGGACTCATACTTTCCCTTACATACCCTTTGCTCATCAATTCTTCAACTTGCCTTTGAAGTTCATTAGTCTCCTCGGGATTACTCCGATAAGCCGACCTGTTTGGAATGATAGTTCCATTTATGAAATCAATTTGATGTTCAATGCCTGGAATGTGTGGTAGCCCACTACGCATGTCCTTCGAGAGCACGTCTTCGAATTCCTGCAACAAAGAAGTAGCCAAACTAAGGAGGGATGTATTAGTGGTAGCCCACTAGGCATGTCCTTTGAGAGCACGTCTTCAAATTCCTGCAACAAAGAAGTAGCCAAACTAAGGAGGGATGTATTAGATTCCTCAAAATTGAGGAGCAATTCTTTATAAACCAACAAGATCATAAGTTGGTTCTCAACTACTGCCCTCTTCAACTCACTCCCTTTCCAAAGAAATTTACCCTCGACTTTTCTCTTCTCTCATAAGACTCTTTTTCTTTCGTCTTTTGTGGCTCAACTCTTTTTTTCTCACTTTTAGCTACCTCACTATTTTCTCTCTTACTTTCTTGTTATGAAAGATCAACCTCATTCTCTTTTTCTCTCAATCATTTTTCTTCCTTGCTTTTCAGTTTGATTTGATATTCATACACTTGTTGTGTTGTCAACGGTGCAAGAATAATATATTTCCCATCCTTAGTAAATTTGTACATATGTTTGTACCCATCGTACATCACATTCCTATCATATTGCCATGACCTCCCCAACAAAATATGCCCGGCATGTATAGGAACTACATCACACATCACTTCATTATGATACCTCCCAATTGAGAAACTCACCAACACTCTCCTATTTGCCTTAACCTCTCCACTTTCATACAACCATTGCAATTTGTAAGGCCTAGGATGTTTTAGCATGGTTAATCTCAAATTTTCAACTAGTGTAGTGCTAGCCACATTGGTACAACTAACCCCATCAATAATCATACTACATGCCTTATTGTTGACGTGGCATCTCGTGTGAAATATGTTCTCCATTTGTTGCTCCAAGTCGTCCACTTTGATTTGAGCACTAGGAGTTTACCGTGTAACCAACAGCTCTCCCATTGCATATTCCACTCCCACACCATCACTAACATCTTTCAATTTCGGCATGTCATCATATTCACCCTCACTATTACTCACCACTTTTCCATTGTCGCTCAAGATCATCGCCTTTTTGTTTGGACATTGAGAAGCAAGCTGTCCCAATCCTAAGCACCTAAAGCATTTGATATCTCGATTCCTAGAGGGTTATGAATCTGCCTTGGGTGTAACTTTGCTAGCAACTTCCTCTATTCCTTTTGATGTCTCAGTTTTACCTTTTAACACAGCCCCATCACCTTTATTGTTTGTGTGCTAATCTAGCATCCAAATCAGTTTCCATTTCGTCCATTGTACCTTGAACAAGCAATCACATTGCTTCTTTGACCCACTTCGCTCGTAACCTAGACATAGGCCCCTCCTCAACTATCAATGGATCCTTACCCGAACTTGCCCTCGTATCATGGATCACATCAGCGTGTATATCTCACGATTGAAGAAATGATATATTTGACCATTGAGAATCGGTATTGAACCAACTTGTGAATGTACAGTGTTTCACTTAATTCTTCACACATACACACACCTGTTTTATACTGAATA